AAAACTTATCGGTTAAATTTTTTAAAATGTTATAATTTTTTTTTGTTTTAGTATTTTGAAGTTGACCAATTGTTACTTTAAGCAATTAATGATTATAGATGATCTGCACTGTACCATGGAACCCAAGAATTACAGCACCATTATTACACTATGTCATGCAGAATTATAGGATTTAATTGATGATAATTCTAAAAAACCAAATGTAGATTCTTTATCATGAACCTTGATTTTTTATATTTCAAAAAACTTATTGCAATGATTAATTATTACCAATCATATGTTTTTATTATTTATTATTTTAAGGTTTTAAATTTACAACATTACAACAACAATAGTTTTGTTTATTATATCTTTGATTAAAAACACAAGTGCATCTAATCTTATTGGTTAAATCCATAGAGGGTTACACCTTGCCTCTTCAACGCATATACTATTATGTATAAATGATAAATTATAATTTCAAAAAAATAAAAATAAAAAAATAAAAAAATAAAAAAAAATAGCATTTGAATGATAACTAACCAACATCTAAATGTGTGACTGTATTTCGTCTCGCATATTTTGTATATGTCACAGTATCCTAAAAGGTAATAGAGATAATCAATCATAGAAAAGTAAATTACTATTACTGTATTACTGTTACTATTATTTATATTTATTATCATTACATACTTTTATTACATTTTCAAGAAATGTTTTCAATACACCTCGAGATTCATCATAAATAAGTCCTGAAATACATTTAACACCTCCTCTACAAGCTAACCTTCTAATTGCTGGTATAGTGATTCCTTGAATATTATTTTTAAATATTTTATGGTGGCGTTTTACTCTTCCTTGTCCAATCCCTTGTCTTTCCGTAACTGTTGTAGTAGGAATAATAGACATTAGTGTATCATCAGTTGTATTGTTTGTGTGAACATTGTTGGTTATAGTATTGCAAGTGTGTAAATTCAAATACAGCTCGTTATGTGTCCAATAAATACAGTACTTGGACAAAAGTTTCGGAACACTTGTTTTTGTTAATTGCGCAAAAATGTACATAATGAACATATATGAAATTTATATCATTTGCGATTTAGGTCCTTATGAATATCTATACAAAATTCCATGCGTCTAGGTTCCGTAGAACTCGAATAAATACATAAAAATGAAATTCGATTAAATTTTGGCAATCAAAAATTTTTCACATGATGTTTTTAGAAATTGTCCAAGAACCTACATATTAATATGTTTTGGAAATTTTGTATATGAAAACCCAAGTTTTGCTGATTCTGAAAAAGTAATTTTTATCGCATATTTTTTAAGATCTTTTTTTAAAAAAAAGATCTTAAAAAGTTTTCAAAATTTTAAATTTCAAAAAAAAATAAAAAATGTCTAATTTAACT